AAAAACAAAAAAATTCAAACAATTACAAACACACATACATAGACACATACATGGCAAATAAAGTCGAAAACATACAACATACTGTAAGAAATTTGTCAAAAATAATTCGAAATGATAAAAATTATAACTGTGGTTTTTTGTATTTCTTACACTATCAGCACCAGTATGGGCTACATCAAATGAAAAAACCCTGTAAATTAGGCCAATGTTTAGTAACAAAATCACTACTTCGACAAGGATGCAACGCGATACGGCGGCCAATTTTCTTCGGACAGATTCGTCTACGCAATATCCTAAAAGAAGGAAAAGAAAAAATATAAATTAATAAAAGTAAGTACCCCTCCACAACAAATAATCAATAATTCTGTTTAACATATGTTACAGCTTAGCATCCAACTTTTTAGATTTACATACATTACAAATCGTAATGGTGCAAAATTTTGCTCAATTGGATATTAAAATTAGATGAAATCGGTAAATGAAAAGAAAAAAAATCATATTTCCTAAATTAGAAAAAACTTTCCCAACTGCTTGATGATTAAGGTCAAATAATTGGAATCACTACGACCATCATTTGTAACCTGTAATAGCAAGACTACTGATATTTGAGTCTATTTTAGGAAACCAAACGTATGGCCGTATCGATTTTTGCAGTTTTGTCAGAGTTGAATAAATATCCAAAAAAATAATAAAGAACAAATGTGCAACATGCATGAAGCTAAATTCCAAAAAATTTCATAATTGAAAGTTTCAAAATGTAGCTCAGAGAATTTCTTTTTTAAAAGAACAATATACCAAGAAAAAGTGCATGCATGAGAAGTGCTTTTTGGAAATCAGTATGATTAATAGATATTTCGAAGTATCTGCCAAAATTACTCTTTCTGCTCATTCATCTCTTGCTACCATACCAGTGACATTTCACAATGCAATCGAAATGTCACATTGTCAATTTTAAACAAAACCTCAAATTACCAAATCCTCAGGTAATCTCCTTTTTTCAAATGTCCAAATTATGCTTCAAAACTTTAAAAAAACTTTCGAGTATCAAACCACAGCTTAACGAACGTAACTCGCTGCTGCATGACATTATCGACCTCTTATTAAATACTTTCATCTCTATATTCATTACTGATTTTGTCATTAATTTCTGTCAGACTTAGCATATTTACTTACTTTAGTCGCGGTCCAGCGAGGAATAAAAGCTTCTCATCCAAACCACTCCATCGACTATCCGGTTGAAAGCTTTTCTTTCTGGAAGTACCCACGGCTGTCAATACGGAACCGGTCGATGTGGCAGTTTTTTTATCGTGTGCTATCGTATCGATGCCCATCAGAAGTGCTGGTTGCGGAACTTGAGACTGTGGTGCCGAAGTGGTTGTTGCCGTTCGTGCAACTGTTGCCACTGCCTGCAGCTGTGGTACTTGTTGTTGTTGCTGTTGTATTGTCGCAGCAAAAAGAGCCGGATTAACAGCAGCAATAGTTGGCGGTACAAGAACAGAAGTGGGGAGTGGTAACGGTGTTACTGCAGCTACCGGCTTACTTTTTTCATGTGCAAAGTTATGCATTGCAGTTACTGCACCCGTGACATGACCTAAGTGTGACTGTTGATTACGAACAGTGGTGCAAACAATTTTACTTGGATTTATTGATGGTTTAGTAACAATCGTGCTAGTAAAGTGTGCACCGGAATGAACTGCAGTTATTTGTGCTTGCAATGGTTGTGATGCTAATTGCGATGGCGGAAGTGACGGTAGTGATGGCGGTGGTGGCGGTGGTGGAGGTGGTGGTGGTGGTGGTGGCAGTGTTGGTGGTGGTGGCAGTGTTGGTGGTGGTGGTGGAGGTGGTAGTGGTGATGGTGCTGCTGTTGATAGTGATGGTGGTGGTGTTACTCCAGGTGTTGTAATTGATACCACTGTGGGATGATGATAATGAGTATGAGTAGTACCAACTGATCCAGTAGTTACCAGATGAATGGCATTTTGCTGCTGCGTTTGCGCTACCGTTTGTTGCAAATGCTGCAATAAGAAAACGAAACGAAAACTAAAAAACCAAAATTGATCAAATCCGTGATTTTTTAGACTTATCTCGATCTGTATCTATCACTCCTTGAAGCTAATCCAAAAAATCACACCGACATGCTAACTAACCAAATATATCGACTGTCATGCTCACGACACTACAGAAGAATGCATTCATCCCTTGTATCAAGGCATACAGCGCTGCTATCAGTCAACAGGGTTCTATCTATCTATCTATCTATCTATCTATCTATTTATC